CCACTTGAGCCACAGCACCACTTCCGGCTTTTTTCTTTTTGCTTATGTGGTGCTGAGGAATCGAACCCAGGGCCTCATGCATGCAAGGCAAGCACTTTACCACTGAGCCACCTTCCCAGCCCCTCGTACAGACATTTATTAAAGCATAGCTAGATGATGGTAGGACTAGAGCATGGCTCTGATTTGTAGTCTAGTTGTTTTGCTACTACAAAATTATTACTGTTTATTATTACTGTTATTATTATTTTGCTAATCTTGGGGCTTGCACTCTGGGTCTGGGCACTGTCCCTGAGCTCTTCAGCTCAAGTTGAGTACTCCAGCACTTGAGCCACAGTGCCACTTCCGGTTTTCTGGTGGTTATTTTGGAGATAAGAGTCTCACTGACTTTACTGCCTGGGCTGGCTCTGAATTGTGATCCTCAGATCTGAGCCTCCTGAGTAGCGAGCATTACAGGCGTGAGCCATGGGCACCCAGCCCTTATCATTTTTTTAAATTGAAATGATTGTGAGTTTGTGGGTTTACAAATCAGTTAACTTTTTGGATGCTAAATTGCTATGTGATTTTCTTATGACTAATTACATGATTTTGTTTTTACTAGAATGGAACCCTGTGATGACCAAATTAATATACATGAGAAAATTCAAAAGGTAAGCTTTTTAATTTTTTATGTGTTTTTTTATTTCTTTGGCAGTATGAGGCTTGAACTCGAGCCCTTTCAATCTCACCCAGCTTTTTTGTTTGCAACTGGTAAATCTACCACTTGAGCTATGTTTCTAGTTCTGGCTTTTTGCTGGTTAATTGGAGATAAGAATTTCGAGGACTTTTTTAGTTTTAGGCTGGCTTTGAACAGCAGTCCTCCAATCTTAGCCTCCTAAATAGCTCAGATTACAGACATGAGCCACTGGCAACAAATTATATATGAGACAAAATTTGCCTGTAGATGGTGTATTTGACTCAATTTGTAGGTGTCTTACAGGTATGTCACCATATCTGGCTAGTGTCTTTTCTTCTGACATACAGAATCTCTCAGTGTTGCCCAGACTGGCTAGCCTCAACTTCTGGGTTTAAGTGATCCTCTGGCCTCAGCTGCTTGAGTAGCTGAAACTGCAGGTGTGTTTATGTGCCCAGCACTTGGAATCTTTTTTTTTTTTAAATTTTTTTACAGCTCACACAAGTAAATGATTGATTTCTTTATTGAATTAAAATTATGCTATATAAAACAATGAAATCTTTTATTGCCCCTCCCCCCCCTTTTTTGTGCTCAAGGTTAGCAGTCTACCACTTGTGCCACAGTTCTATTTCCAGCTTTTTCTGAGTAGTTTATTGGAGATAAGAGTCTCTCATAGACTTTCCTGTTTGGGGTGGCTTTGAACTGCAATTCTCAGATCTAAGCCTCCTGAGTAGCTAGGATTATAGCTGTGAGTGCCTGGTGGTGCCTGACTTGCCCATTTCTTTTGTAGTGTTGTTCTTTTTTTTTTTTTTTTCCTTGAACTTATATATATGGCATGTATATGGCTGATAAATGTAAGTATATGTAAAATAGTTTAAAAATATGATTAATTTAAAATCCTCTAATAAGAAAGATCTGCTGACTGTTACCTCATATGTGGTATTAACTAAATAAAATATATTAACTGAAGGAAGATGGAAAATATTGAAGAAAAATGAGGAGTCAAATTGAGGCTGACTTGACAGGAGGAAGGAATCTGGCAAATGTCAACCTCTAGAGGTTGGCTTTTAAAGTTTTTATTAAGTGATATTAACTACATAGAGGAATTTTACTGTGATATTCCCATGCATGTATAGAATGTACTTTGATCAAAATCACCCCCTCTATTACTCTTTATCTCTCCTTTTCCCACCAGAGGTTGGCTTTGATGTGTGGGATAAAAGTATTTTCTTAAGTTTTCTTTTTGTTTGGATGAAATCTCTCAAGCCCTATTGTGATTCTGTAGTTCTGAGCAGCTTTGGGTATTACTATGGCTTCCCAGGCACCTTAGAAATGGAAAGGTGAGTGCCATCTTCAGAAAATGTTCAGTCACTCAGTGAGTGTTCATTGATCACCTGCTATGTATCAAGTATCTTCTAGATAAAAGTAGGGTGTCAGCAATGAAGAAAATAAGGCAAAGCCACTTTCTTATGCTTTTAATTTTATATTACTATTATTAAATAGAATACTATTGATTAGAAATGTAATAGATTAATATAAAAAAACTATTTTCCACATCATTTTCTTCTGAAAGTGACTAGTATTCATTTTCCCTGGATCAGACTAATCCATTAACAAGAAAATTTCTGACAAGAAGAATAAGAACCAGATCACGAATGATTGTAGAATCATCAGGAAACATTATCTTGAGATCACCAGTTGCTAGACAATGAATCTTCCTTTGGAGAACAGCTTTATCTTGCTTTGCAACATTTTTTTTTTTTTTTTGGGTCCAGTCGTGGAGCCTGAACTCTGGGCTCCCTCAGCTCTTCAGCTCAAGGCTAGTGCTCCTCCACTTGAGCCACAGCGCCACTTCCGGCTTTTTTCTTTTTGCTTATGTGTTGCTGAGGAATTGAACCCAGGGCCTCATGTTCTACCACCTTCCCAGCCCTGTTTCCAGTTTTTTAAGGTTCCCCTTCCCTTCCCCCCTTCTTCCCCCCCCCCCAGGCCTGGGGCTTGAACTCTGGGCCTAAGCATGCCCCTCCAATCCTTTTGCTTAAGGCTAGAGCTCTACCACTTGAGCCACAGCACCACTTCTGGCCTTTTCTGTGATTAATTGTAGATGAAAGAGTCTTGGGGACTTTCTTGCCCCAGCTGACTTCAAACCTAGATCCTCAGATCTTGGCCTCCTGAGTAACTAGGACTGCAGGCATGAGCCCCTGGTGCCAGGATGTTCTTTTTGACTGTTAATCCCTTTTATACATAGAAGTTCTCTGAATACTATTAAAAAATTTTAAAATAAGACATAACTGTATATTTATGGTGTGCAGTGTTGTGCTCTAAACATTATAGAAAGATACAGTCAAGCTAATTATTAGCATATGTATTCACCAACTTATTGTTTTTTAAGAATGCTAAAGATCTACTTTAACAATTTTGAAATGTGTATTATTAATAATTAGTAGGACTGGGAAGGTGGCTCAGTGGTAGAGTGCTTGCCTTGCATGCATGAGGCCCTGGGTTTGATTCCTCAGCACCACATAAGTAGAAAAAGCTGAAAATGGTGCTGTGGGTCAAGTGCTAGAGCACTAGCCTTGAGCTGAAGAGCTGAGGGACAGTACAAGAGTTCAAGCCCCAGGACTGACAGAAAAAATAAAAAAGTTTGTTTAAAAATAAAATTGGTTACCATGCAACATAATAAATCATTTAAACTTCTCTAGTTTAACTAAGTCTTTGATGAGTATCCTACTGTGAATATGCTTATAGGAATTTTAGTGAAAATATGTTAATATTAATACATGCTTAAGAATTCCCTTCCTCCCTGTTTACTCCTCTTCCCTCCCCTCCCTTTCTTTCCCTCTTTTCTCCCTTAGGATCACAGTTCAAAGCCAACCTGAGCAGGAAAGTCTGTGAGACTTTTATCTCCAGTTAATCATTGGAAAACTGTAGCTGTGGCTCAAGTGGTGGAGTTCAGCCTTGAGCAAAAAAGCTTGCTTAAGAACAGTACCCAGGCCCTGAATTCAAGCCCTACTATCCCTTCCCCCCCAGTAAAACCAAAAAAAAACTGAGTTATTTATATTTTAACTCTTCTGAATGAGATACATATAGTAGTTTTTTTTCTCTTTAAAATCTTTTATTATTTCTCCTTAAAATCTCTTACATTGAAAGCATGTCAGAATACAGGAATTGCTAATTGTATCTTAGTGTTTGTCTGAATATTATAAATTATAGCGAGCTAGATTCTCTTAAAAAATTCTTCGGCTGTGCACTGGTGACTGATATCTGTAATCTTAGCTACTCAGGAGGCTGAGGATCATGGTTTGAAGCCAGCCTGGGAAGAAAAATCTGAGACTTTTCTCTCCAATAAATTACTCAGCTAAAGCTAAAAGTGGCATTGTAGCCCAAGTGGCAGAGTGCTAGCCTTGAGCACAAAGAGGCTGAAGGACAGTGTCCAGGGCCGGAATTCAAGCCCCAGGACCAGGAAAAAAAAAATTTCTTCAGTTTCTAAACCCCTTTAGAAGTAGTACTGGTACTTCTAAAGTATTAAAGTACAATTACTTAAAAAAATTTCTCACTGGAAATCAGCCTGTTGCTTAGTGCAAGCAGGTATTTATTGTTATGTTTCTCTTTCCTCCCCTCCTCATCCTGGTGGGACTGGGGTGAAAGGCAGGGCCGTGTACTTGCTAGGCAAGCATTGTACTACTTGGATGCTTACATTTATTTCTTTAAAATATGTACAGATTCTGTATGGACTTTTTAATATTTTTTTTGTTCTCTTTTCAAAGGTTCAGTCTTTGTGGACTTTAGTGAATGAAACACTCATACTTTTAGAAAAAGAAAGAGAAGTTGTTAGTTCAGTTCTTGGTCTTGTCAATCATTATGCTTTAGATGGAACTGATGTTGTTCTTAATATTCCAAGGCTTTTACTTGACAAAATTGAGAAACAAATGGGTCAGGTAAGAATTTGATATTATTAAAGCTTTTGGGAAAATGCTAAAAAATGCATACAATTAATATATATTGTTTTTCTCCAAATGTTTTTCTTTCAAAATTTATAAATATATCTAGAAAAATCTTCATTAAGAAGGTTATTGTTAAAGGTGTGATTAGCTCTTGTACTTGGTCACACTTATGGTCCTATATCATATGTGTAGGAAGTATAAACTTACTTAGGAAGATGTTCTTTTTTTTATTTTTATTTTTTTTTTGTGAACATACTGTACAGAGGGGTTACAATTATATGGGCAGGATAATGCGTATATTTCTTATCAAGCATTGTAGCCTCCTTTGTTTACCACTTAGGAAGATGTTCTATACTAGTTGTTTATACATGTTTAAAGAGAATAGCTATGATCTCCTGTTGCTAAAGCCATCCTCTCTAAAAATCTTTTTTCAAAGTCTCCTTCCTCTAATTTTTTGTATCTTGGTTTTATTAAGTATTCTTTTACAGTTTTACTTACCTTATTTATTTAAAGTCTTATTGTAGCTTTGTGATGTCCATCTCTACTGTGTTTCCATACTGCTGATTTCAGTTTTTTTCATGGTTTCCTTTTCTCTACTTAGCTTGAAATGCAAGAGTTCTCTATGGTTCCTTTCATTCCCAGTTTGCTTTTCTTCATTAGAAATGTATCTATATTTTCTTACTATTTCATAGCTTACAGCTTCCTGTACAGAATATTACTAGTCTTCTATATTTCTAGTATAGCAAGTCACCCAAAGTCCATTTATCTTATATATGTATATAAGACATTGCCGTCTAGTTAGCTTTTTTTTTTGGCAGCGTTGTTTATAGTACCTACCATAACATGATACTGATTCTAGTGTGAAGTTACAAAAATAAAGTGTTGTGACTCTCATGTTGCTTTATTAGGCAACATGACATCAATTTTAGAGTACATAACAAGCACGATGTATAAGCTTAACATTTCTACAATGTATATATGTCCTAAATAACAATAAGAATTATGTGTAATAATATGGAGAAGGTAGGAAGTGATGAAGTCTTTGGAGAAAATTACCATAAATGTTTTTGCTTTTACATGAAATTTATAATTAAAAAATATTGACAATATGCTAAAAAGTGTAGGACAATAAATTTGTCCTTAGATATCCATTAGGAGTCATTGGTTTTCAACTTTTGTTAAAAAATTAATTCATGCTCTTTTTCCAAACTTATTCTTTCTACTCAATTTTTTTTTTTTAAGGTAGGATCTTACTATATAGCCCAAGCTGCCCTTGAATTTATAGTCCTCCTTTGTCTAGCTAGTAGTGGGGTTATAGGTGTTGGCCACCACACCTAACTTCTACTCAGTCCTGGTTTTTCTTTTCATCAGTTTATATTTCTTCTACTTTTCAATATTTTGCATGATATAAAAAAGTCACAGGGCATAGTAATTCTTCAACAGTGAATTTAAATTATTTGTGTAATTTTATGTTTTAGTTGGTATTTGATTTTTTTTTTATTCCCCAAGGGAAGAGTGTCAGAGTAAAAAGCATATTTATGTAACAGTTTTCTGTCATAAGAAGCTATAATTCTCTACTTCCCCTTGCCCCTTTATCTTTAGCTGCACATAGGAAATGTTTATGAGGCTGGAAAATTGAACCTCTTAACTGTTATTCAGTTGTTAAATGAAGTTTTGAAAATAATGAATTATGAACGTCATCAGGCTGATCAAGAAAGATTGACAATAGACCTTCACTACCTTGAAAAAGAGACCAAATTCCAGAGGGAAAGATTGTCAGATCTGAAGCAAATGAGGTACACTAGAAAGAATTCCCTTTATTTCACTAGGAAAGAGTAGGATAGTTTTCTTAGTACTTTAAAGGTTTATATAATCAACTCCTAGAGATACATGTTAGATAGAAAGGACAAGGTTTTTTTTATTTTTAATAAATTATGTATATACTTTTGTTGTGTTTAATAATAGAAATTGAGTCTCAAGGAAGTTTTTCAGGGCTGGGAATGTGGCATATGGTAGAGTGCTTGCCTGGTGTGTATGAAGCCCTGGGTTCAATTTTTCAGTATTACATAAATAGAAAATGGCAGAAGTGGCACTGTGGCTCAAGTGGTAGAATGTTAGCCTTGAGCAAAAGAAGCTCAGGTACAGTGCCCAGGCCCCAAGTTCAAGCCCTAAGACTGGCCAAAAATAAATAAATAAAAGTTTTCCATTTGATTAGAAAGACTGGGAGTTAATAGTAGACAACAAAGAATAAAAATAGGACTCTGACACATTAGAGCTACGAAAAGCTTTATGTTTTAAAAATCAGGGCTAGAGGCTTGGCTCAAATAGAGCACCTGTTTACCAAGTATTCTACAGTACAGCAAAAATAAATTAATGAAAAGTAAGTATATATAATTTTAGGCTAGGAGTATGACATAAGTGATAGATAGCCTGTCTAGCAAATACAAAATTCTGAGTCCTCTGGTTTTAACAGGAGAAGAGGTATTTTATGTTCATAATAATTATTTGTGAGATTTTATTCAATTTTTATATAGTTTGCTCATTGAATTCTCAATTTGATTTTCTTCCACTTCCTTATTATATTGTCTTACTTTTTTTTTTTTTTTTTCCGGTTGTGGGGCTTGAATTCTGGGCCTGGGCACTGTCCCTCAGCTCTTCAGCTCAAGGCGAGCGCTCTACCACTTGAGCTACAGTGCCACTTCCGGGTTTCTGGTGGTTTATTGGAGATAGGAGTCTCAGAGTTTCTCCTGCCCGGGCTGGGTTTGAACTGCGATCCTCAGATCTCAGCCTCCTGAGTAGCTAGGATTACAGGCGTGAGCCACCAGCGCCCGGCTTAAAGGACTGCTATACATATTTTTTTTTGCCAGTCTTGGGGCTTGAACTCAATGTCTGGGTACTGCCCCTCAACTTCTTTGGCTCAAGGGTATCCCTCTACCACTTGAGCCACAGTGCCACTTCCAGCTTTTTTTATGTGGTACTGAGGAATCGAACCCAGGGCTTCATGCATGCTAGGCAAGCACTCTACCACTGAGCCACCTTCCCAGCCCCTTCCTTATTATATTGTTTTCTTACATTTTACTACATATTTTTGTTTTGAATAAAGTTACTTTTTATGCTGTCATAGGTATAAAATAAAGGAAGACCTCACAGATATAAGGCATTCTATTACTGAAAAGCAAAGAGAATGGCATAAGAAATGGGAAGAAAGCCTTGGCCTATCTCCTTTCAGTCTAATTAAAGGTTGCACTCCAGTAAGTAATGTTGATGTGTCTTATGGAGAGTAGTTTAATTTTGTCCAAGTTGACTTATCATGTTAAAAGTAACCTAGAAATTATACACATACACTATACTATATATGTATTCATAAGCATATATACTTACGTTTTTTTAAATCTTGGGTCTAAAGTTCAAATGCTTTAGTTTCTGTAATTTTTCTAAGTACAGAGAAGAATTTTTAATAAGCGATTATTGTCATTTATAGTTAATATCTTAAAATTCAGATGGCTATATTAGAAAATGAGATTTATTCTTGATATAAACTATTTCAATGTTTGAGACATACTTGGAAAATAAAGCAACTTTTTGTTTTTCTTGGTTATGGGGGCTTGAACTCAGGACCTAGGTATTGTTCTTGAGCCTTTTTGCTTTACCACTTTGACACCTCCACTTCCAGTTTTGAGGGGTTAATTAGAGATAGGAGTCTTATGGGGACTTATCTGCCCAGCTGTCTTCGAACTGTGATCCTCAGATCTCAGCCTACAAGTAGCTAGGGTTATAGGCATGAGCCACCAGCACCTGGCTGTAACTCTTTTGCTTAGAATATTTTTAAATTTGGTCTGGGAAGGTGGCTCAGTGGTAGAGCACTTGCCTTGCATGCATGAGGCCCTGGGTTCGATTCCTCAGCAACACATAAGCAAAAAGAAAAAAGCTGGAAGTGGCGCTGTGGCTCAAGTGGAGGAGCGCTAGCCTTAAGCTGAAGAGCTGAGGGACAGCGCCCCGGCCCAGAGTTCAGGCCCCATGACTGGACCCCAAAAAAAGAATATTTTAAAATTTGAAAGTAGTTACAAGATATGTATTTGATAAATTTTTAATAGAAGAAATACCTAATCATAGATTCACTGGTATTGTTGTTACTATAATTATTAAATGCTTCATTCTGTTTTAAGGCTGTGAATCTCCTACCACCCATGTCTCCCCTTTCATTTGATCCTGTCTCAGAGGAAGTGTATGAAAAGAGTATTCTGTCTCAGTACCCTGCTTTACTTCCAGGTTGGTTGTTGGTTTTTTTTTTTTATCATTTTCTCTTTTGAACCTTGCTACTGTCATTTTTCATTATTACCATAGTTCTTTATATTTTTTGTCCCCTTTACTCGGTTATATAGTGACATGTACATAACATACTTTTACCATTTTAGTCATCGCAAAGTAGACAGCACAATAGCATTTAGTAATATGTAATCCTCACCATTTTTTAGTTCCAGAACATAATCATCTAAAAGGGGCCCCTTATCCATGGAGTAATCATTCCTCATTTTTTACTCCCCTTGTCTCTTGTATACTGTAATACACTTTCTGGTTCTGAATTTGGCTACTTCATATAAATTAGGTCATGCATATAAAATGAGGCCTTTTGTGTCTGGCTTTACTTATCATTATCATAGTCAGACTCCTTGCTGGCAGAGCCTTCATGTTTTAATTCTTTCTCCCATTATTAGTATAGTAATGGCACATATAATTCAATGATAGGATTATAAGTAAATATGCTGCTCTAAAGTAAGCTAAGTAATACAGTTGCAATTTTGTTGGCATATGTGCTAATTATGTGATCTGTATACTTTTTTTTTTTGGGTCCGTCATGGGCTTAAACTTTGGGCTTGGACACTGTCCCTGCATTTTTTCAGCTCAAGGCGAGCGCTCTACTGCTTGAGCCACAGCGCCACTTGCAGTTTTCTAGTGGTTTATTGGAGATAAGAGTTTCACGGACTTTCCTGCCTGGGCTGGCTTTGAACTGCGATCCTCAGATCTCAGCCTCCTGAGTAGCTAGGATTAATGGTGTGAGCCACCGGCGCCTGGCTTGTGATCTGTATACTTAAGCATAGTTAAATAACACTGAAAAATTATAGTCGGTTAGGTTTCTTGTATAAATGTGTGTGTGTGGGGTGGGGGTGGAGGGCTTAAACTCAGGGCCTGGGCACTGTCCCTCCGCTTTTTCAGAATCATTTGAGACATAGCTTAACTACAGACTTTTTAGTGGTTAATTGGAGATAAGAGTCTTAAAGACTTTTCATGTCCAGGCTGTCTTCAAACCATCATCCACAGATCTCAGCTTCCTGAGTAGCTAGGATTCTAAATATGAGCCATTGTGCCCAGCATTATGTTATTTTTGGGAACTCAAATATAGCCTTATACATAACATTTTATGTTCTAGTTAAAAAATTTTTTCTAAAAACTTTTTGTGGCTCAGCCTGTGTTTATTAGGGAACTTGGCCTATAGTTTTCTTTTTTGTTGAATTCTTCTGTGCTATATTTATTTACTTATTTTTTGTCATTCTTGGGGTTTGGAAATCTGGGTCTGCGCCTTGTCACTCAGCTCTTCAGTGCAGCTTGAGCCACAGCTCCACTTCTGGTTTTTCTGGTGGTTTATTAGAGATAAGAGTATGATGGACTTGGGGCTGGGAAGGTGGCTCAGTGGTAGAGCGGTTGCCTTGCATGCCTAGGCCCTGGGTTTGATTCCTTAGCATCACATAAGCAAAAAGAAAAAAGCCAGAAGTGGCACTGTGACTCAAGTGGTAGAGCGCTAGCCTTGAGCTGAAGAGCTGAGGGACAGCGCCCAGGCC